TTTGCCCACCTTACATTATACCCATTGTTAGTAGAGAGGAGTTTGGATTCGGAATTATATTTTTGTTTGTAGTAAAAAGCGGAAACGGTGTAACTAGGTTTTGTTATATTTCTAAGTGACGCAATTGAAGTCGTCGATTTATGTTTTGTTCATAGATAATAAGTTACGAATGTTATATTTTTGGTAGAGAGTAAGTTAGGCAATAAGTAGAATAAGCATTAGTTTGTAAAATAGTACTAAGTAGTTAATAAGTAGCCGTAAGTGTTATAGCAGTTAGTTTCAGAATATAAGCAGGAATTCAAATTAGTGGGCGGGCGCGCGATCAGCAATACAACCGTGCGGCTCAAAAGCTCGTAGGAGTGCTGAATTGCATTGCTGGTCGCGTGGTGAAATCTGCACAGCAGAAGCAAGGGATTGAAAGCTGCGTGCAGAGTTTAGTTAGTTTTGAGCTCTCGGAGTGAGCGGTAGCTACTTTCGACCTCTCGGAGTGAGCTCTCAAAGTGAGCAGACGTGAAAGGGAAAATCAAATCAAGGAGAAGGTACTAGAGTTTAGGTTAAGCTCGGGAATTGTAATAAAGTAAGCTTGTATATGTAGAAATGGTTGCGTATTTATTTGTAGTTAGTTCATCTAGCGTAGCGACTTTTGACACTAATTACAACTAACTGTAACAACACTAACTGGTAGTTTGAACGTGGCCACGACGTGTTCGCCAGAAGGGTAAATCTCTGGCAGTGAAAATCGCGAGGTCGGGGAGTGATCGCCGGCGGCAACGCTGGGCGTTCCTCGACCCGCGATCTACCATTCGTAGTGGCCCCACTAACTCCCACAGCACGCCTTCGCAACCCCGACCCCAGCAATCTAGAGTGCRCTTGATCGCGCCACTCRATTGYTGCCGCCCTCCCGCGTGCAAACGCGTGGGCGTGGTCGGCGAGTACAGGCCACGTGGTCACCTAACCTCAAACGGTACCCTTCACCTCTCCCATTTCACCAACACTATACGTCCCGTAGTAACTTATAAATGTCTTGTAAGTTATGGCCCTGGGCAGACTGAGACTCTGACCTCCGCTGGAAAACAAAAGTAACCTTACAAAATATAAATTATATAGAAAACTCATTTATGAAAATATACAAATATTTTGAAACAATTAAAAAAATTAATATTAGTTGCACCGATCGGGATTCGAGCCGCGACTTTTCAATCGAGCGTCATGCAGGTAACACACTACGCCACCTCCCTTCTGAAAGCTACGCTGGCAAAACTCAAATAGATTCACTGCTGCAGAATAACTAAACTTTTAAAAACGCACATTTAGTATGGATAAAATTTCAATTTCGGTGTATTTAAAAATATA